CCCAAAACCCCAAAACCCCAAAACCCCAAAACCCCAAAACCCCAAAACCCCGTGCCACAAGAATTTGGTTGAAAACTTAATAACCTAAAGAACGTTAACAGGATGTTTCTCAAAAAAGTATCCTTATTGATCAAGATTAGTTAGTAGAGTGTGAACAGACCTTTTGTGGGAGGATCTGAGGTTATGTGGTGAACTTCCCTTTGATCTCTATATGACCAAGTCTGTACTTCTTGAAGATGGTAGTCACAGTGCTCTTCTGCATTTGGCAACGCCAGCCAAAGAATACTCATTGAAGAGAGTGTCTTAGATCAGACTCTGAGAATCCCTTGATTAAGCATTCTAGATCTTCAGATTTCTCAATCCAGTTACTGTATTTGAATCTTTCTCAAAGAGAGAAATCAATTGATTCAATAGAGGTTTCTTTGAGGCATTTGACCAGATCAGGTGCCTTTATTAAGGACAACTTGCAGCCAATGAACTCAATTTCTTTCTTATTCTTAGTAGTCATGAACAATCTTTTGAGCTGTTTCTCATTTATCTTAAAATTCTTGAGAAGCAGTCTTTCATTCATCTTCTGGTTTGCTCGGATAATCTCAGGTAGAACAAAGGAGATATTCGATACATGGCTGCATGAGAACCCGTAGGAGTTGCAGCCTTTAGAAATCAGAGAGTTCTTTGAGAAATCCTTAATTACTTTATCACGCTTGCTAAAGTTCTCGATATAAAGTCCTAAGATACTAGGAAGAGAGATTCTCTTCATCTTTTTGAGAAAAAGCTTGTAAGCAGCTTTCTTCAGAGAGAATATGAGTGTATCTTGTGTAGTGAACTCATTCTTCCAGCCTGTGATGTTATGGTACAAATCAGCATACAGTTTGGATCAGTTTGTGTCTAGCCGTTCCTCAAGTGATGTCTCAGACTCATGACAAGCTAGTGCGTGACATTCTTTCTGCCCTAGCTCTAAGGATTGTACAGAGAAAGCAGGTGAACTGACGCCTACTTTATTATTCTCTGTGGTAAGCTTCATATCCGTCACTTCAGGAGTCTGAATCTCTTTAGGCTCAGTAGAGGTGAAGATTTGAAGTTTAGATTCGAGCTCTCAGATCACCATCTGAAGAAATTCAAATTTTCTGGGACGCATTAGGTCTTGGCTCTCGACTGGGCTTGAGTATACTTGCTCGCTCTCATTTTTAATCTTCAGAAGTGACTCATGTATCTGGCTAATACGATAGGAGTAACAAACTTCCTGCTTAGAGAGATATAATTCTAATAAATTTTGAAAGTTCTTCACACGAGTTATGAGCATATCTAATACTTGCAGCCTTATCTCTACAGGCTCCAAAGAGTTTGAAGCATTATGTTTCACTAAGGAGGGTTTTTTGGGGTCCTTGCTAGCTTGAGAGATATTCTGTGTGCTCTCATTGTGTACACGCTGTGAATAATTTGATTGATTCATTTAATTTTATTACTATTTTTAAAGATCTTGCTTTTCAATCAATGTAAATTCTAAGGGGTTTTGGGGTTTTGGGGTTTTGGGGTTTTGGGG